GGCCAAAAGAAACCAGATTGAAGCACTTTGGCGGCTGTCCTTTCTCCATTATAATGTCCTCCATATGGCGAATTGTGACAATGCCATAGATTTGGGCAACATCACCAACTAACTAATGCTACACGTTACAAACCGAGTATTATTTGGAACATGACAATTTTTGGCTAATAAGCCAAGTATTATTTGAACACTCAACCACTTTTGGCTTAAAATCTTAGTATATTTTGGAAAACACAACCACTCTTTGCCAAACAACCCCAATATTTTTTGGAACACAACCACTCTTGACTAAACCACTTATATTGTTTGGAATCGTAGCCATTCTTGACAAATAACTAATGGCATTTTCTGTTGAGATATGTGTGTGTGCATTGCTTGAAAACACTCATCCTCCAACCTTCCCTCAAAAGAAAAAGAGATTGGCTCTAACAAACACAAACACTATCCATAATGATAAACACAAATCCTTAGACTAGAGCATATTTGTTTTGCCAAAGTTATTCTCGCTTGTGTTATTTGGGAACTCCCTAACTAGCCAGAAGCATGCAAAAGAAAATCAAACCACTTGGGGCAATCCTTTTTCAGTAAATTCTTTCCATACTCGTTTCCTATCTTGAACGAAACTCATGCCTAAAACCTAGGGCAACTTTGACATTCATACTCAATTTTCTTCAAAATAAGAAAATTACTAGAAGTAGATTGTTACTGCAAAATCCATAAATGCAAATAAGCAGTCAGACCAAGTATCATTAGAAGAAATTTTAAAAAGTGATGTAGTCAATAGAGATAAAAATTAGAGGTAGAGCTTGAGTTAGAACCTGAGTACATAGTAAAAAGTATTGTTTGCATATCAAACAACTCTGACTAAGACACTAAGTATGTTTTGGAACACAACTACTTTTTGCTAATAATCTAGGTTTGTATAAAGATGTGATCAAACATCTTATGATGTATACAATTATATGAACTCTTTTCTAGTTTGCTATATGAAAACAACAATGTTCTATGCAAAGCTTTTAAGAGAGCGGAAATATTTTGGTAGTGTTTTGGAACTTAGCAATCATTCATTGCTCCGTCTTCTTCTTCAAAGGATAACTTTATATAGAGTTTGGAAGAATGAGCCGTTGCAAATCCCATTTTGGTTGTTGAGAGATTTTGAACTTAGATAGCTTCATCTTCTAGCATCTGACGAGCATGGATGGAGAGATGCATTAAATGCATTCCATGCAGCATTAAATGTCAATCTCCTTTTCAAGCAACATCATGATAGATGACAATACTTATCAACACAAGGTTAGAAAACTTTTTTCTCAAAACAAAGTAAAAGAAAAGACTATACAACACAAATAGCTTGATTAGAGTTGACAAAAGCTTGTGTCAAGTTGGTTGTTGAGACAAAATAGCTTTAACTCATATCCCAAGTGATCTTGATGTAAATTTGTGCTTTGCGAATCATTTGGGGAACATATTCAAGGATATTTTTGTTAGGTACAATGTAAGCTTAAAGACGTCTGTAAAAGTTTTCACTTATCAAATGAAGTACTTGTATCTTGCAAGATCTACATTTTTCTATAATTCATTGTCTTCAAACGAAGCATCTTCATGTTTTATACTTTGGTGTGACAAACATTAAATCAAAACTATGAGGCTGAGGGGACTTTACTCTAACATCTTTGATAAAGTTTTAATGTTACTAGAGATGGATCAACAGGGAATATAGGAGGAACTGATGATTCAGTAGGAGAAGTGGAATACCTATCTATCTTCTCAATGCTAGCAATATGGTTAGAAAAGATAGGAGAATCTATTCTGTAGGTTGATATGGGGTTGGAAGACATTTACTTTTTCTGAAAAGCTAGAGGGAAATAAAAATTTAGTAGAGGGTGTCAAAATAGTGAAAGCGAATCTGGGAGAAAAGTTTGCTAAAAGAATTCTTCTGGAGAAAGTGGGTCTACAAGACGGTTTGAAAAAGGTTCTAGATATCATTTTTATAGAGTAAAATTTAAGTCTAAATCAAGCTCACAAAATTGGCTTGATAAGGTAGGTTTGTACTCACTTATATATTATAATTTGATCATATCTCTGATTGATGAGAGATTTTCAACACTAACTTCATCCATGGGACCACTGCACCTTTTCTGATCGTTGTCCTACAAATATATTTGTGTATGTGATGTGTGGTACCTACCCATGTATTTCTGTTGGGTGTATGGTTGCAATATTGTATTTCTCATGTTTACTTCTTTGGGTCTAGTGTCTGATGGGTGCTTTTTGTCATGTTGTTAATCCTTATATGGAAATAGATCCCTATATTTGTATATATTAAATGGTTTTCCTAGTCCAATTCCTTAATATCTGTGCCTGGTTCTTTTGCAAAATTTGCAGTTAATGGCTCTTTTACTTCTGAAGTATGTTGCTCCCCTCTTCAATGCTGATGTGGAGAAAGTTTTAACGTATTTTTATGTAAGTTATAATCTAAATAATTAATCGTGCTGCATGCTATATAGCTGATTGGTTGATTTCATATACTTATTGTTTTCCAGTTTTTCTTTCTTCGTACGGCGGCTGTTGTCCTTCCTTGGTATCTTATGGCCTGGATAATTCGCGTAATACAGCATCAAAGGCAAAGACAAGTTACTACCCTGTGCTTATTCTAATATTGAAATATGTGTTATTTTCCCTTCCTTTTTCCATTTTTCATATTTTGATTAATCATATGATGCCAATTGGTAGGCCATTTAAGATTATAATATTTAAGTGAGGGTATCAATTTGAATTGCAACGAGATATGGTGCGCATGGCATGATTCTCTTATCACTGGTGAAAAACAATGTGAAATTGAGCTTCTTGCCTGTCTATAGTCTCTACCAGAGACCTGGAAAGTTGATAGTGATTGCAGACTAAGTTTTGATGATAGGAAATGTTTTTGGCTGGGTTCTCTTCTCTACGTCTTTACTTTGTGGTTTTTATTTTTCTTTTATGAACTAACAGAGTCATGTATTTATTTTGGATCAGCAAGCACCTGAAGAACTTGCATTTATGCTACAAGCAGACGAACAAGGTTAGCAGTTTGCAATATCACCAGGATCTATTTTTCACTGATTAATTCCCGTAAGTGCTGTGGAATGCCATCCCTAATACAAGGACCTTAGAAATTGTGGTTGGATCAGTAGTGCAACAGAATAAGATCTGACGGCCCTGTTTCTGGTTCTCCATTTGTATCTTTCTCGGGTTATAATACCCCACCTCCCTCCTTTTCTCACTCTTTCTTCTGTAAATAGGTATATTATACATAATCTCATCACCCCAAATACAGCTTATATAGCTGCTGATTGGGAAATTGGTGTTATCTGGAAATGTTCAACTATGAAAATATCTGTATACAAATTTGTAGTTTATTGATGTCATTAATATATTATGAAAATAGAATAAATTGACCAAACATATTTCAAACTTTATTTTGGCCTTTTACTATTATTTTTTAGTATCAGCGAAGAAGTGTAGTTTATGTTAACCTGCCTAACTTAAAATAATCTGTCGTTCAAATTCAAGATTTGCATGCCATTTTTGTTGTTATCAACCAACTTCTATGATGAACTCTCAGGGGTAGCAGAGCTGAAAAGGGAAATTGATCATTGATTTCTATCTTCGAACAAATTATTTGAATGTGCGGCTGCAGCATTCTCCCAATAGCCGAAATGACATGGCTGATGGAATTGTTTTAAATTACGGTTGCAGTTTCATGCAGTTCTTGAAATTTTGTGAAATTGTTGTTGATGGGGGCGATTAAAACCATAAACCATGTTTGCTGGTCAGCGTTGGCTCAACAAAGTATGTAGTATGGTAGGTAATGGTACTTTCGGAGTTCCAATTGCCAGTTTTGTTCAATTCAAGATTGATATAGCATTTAGTTGCAAGTAAAGGTGTTGAAATGTGTTAAAATACGCTAGTCAAGATAGGCTTTAGCTTAGTTTAGATTGGAAAAATTTTAATTTTTTTAAAACGAGTCAAATTGAATCTAACTTATTAAAACTGTAAGTTAAAGAAACTCCTAATTTACCAACAATAGGTATTTTCATTTTTTTCATAGCCCTTTTATTATAATTAGTTATCACTTTAATTATGTAAATTGTCAATTTAATATTTTTAAAAAATAGAATATTATTCAACAATATTTTAATAATTTGGATGTTTATTTTATTTGTTTATCTAATTATATATATTTTTAAAATTTTAATTATCATTTTTATAATATTATTTAATGAAATAAATGAATATTTTAATTATCTGTCTGTTGTAAAATTTACTTTGTATTGTAATAAATATAAATATATAAAATAATTTGAGACGACAAAACATCATTATAGTTAATATTGAGATTTAATTTGTAAAATTATAACATTTTATGATTTTATACTGTATGTTAATATTCGTTGAAGGTTCCATATTCGTTTTCAGGCTGCTTTCGCATCTAGGACGAGCTCCTCCTGCCATCACCACCACCGGACTACCTTATACCACCAACAAGCTCTTCTAGGAAGCTCTGACACCTCCAAACAAGCACACCACAGTAATCACACCACCACAAAGAAGCCCACCAGCACAGGGAAGGAGGAAGAAGAAATGTGATTTCTATGGTGGGATGTGGGGACTGCTTTAAATGAAGTGGTTGAATATTGGCTAAAAGTTTTTTTTTTTTAACTACATTTAAATTTTTGGTAAGGGCAAATGGGAAATTGGAAGGTGCATAGAAAAGACTGTAATGGTGTAAGGAGAAACTCTCCTTGAATAAACTTCCGGACACGACTAAGCCAATGCTGGAAATAACTTTTTCAGAAATACTTCCACGAGAAAAATATAAAATTTTAATTTAATTTATCCACCTCAATATTTTAGAAAATTTAATTTAACAGTACATAAAAGTTGAGGGTCACATAAGTTTCTTTTGAAATATTAATAAAAATTGGCTCAATGTCCAGTTTTTCTATGTTCTGTTGTAGCCCTTTCATAAAGATTATGATAATTATGTGCAAGTAAGTACCAGTAATTTTTTAGAGATGATATTTTATGTTTTTTGGATTTTCAGGACCAATCATTCTAACAATTGAAAACAATGAAAACCATTCTAATAGGAACTTGTTATACCATTACTCTGTTGTGTGGGTCTCTTGTTTTTCTTATTCTTGCTGAAACTGGTCCAAACTGGTGCGAGGAGGATAGAATAAAGTGCAGACAATTTTGATTATTTTTCAAATTCCGATCAAGTTAATAAAACTCAACTATATATAACGTAAAAATTGATTAAATCATGGTAGTTTAATATACAAGAATTTGTCATGTTGGGGGAAGGGTTGTAAATAGATTATAACATTGGTGTTTTAAGGTATGAATTCCTATGTGATAAGCTAGAATGATTTGGTTCAAAAACCAGCTATGGTTGAGAAAGTATATTAGCATTGATGAATCTTAAAAGCTGTATTCGCTAGAGAAGGTTTGTTTTTGAAAGCAACAGTTCACTTATTTCTTTTACTTTTCTCCTTCAGAAAACGGTCAGATATTTCTTTTACTTTAATACAGCTCTAAAGTGGTCAGAAAGAATATCTTACTCCTTGCCTATTTGCCTATATTCTTCAATTCACTTCCCTAAATTTCTTTCCTCTTTCACCGTTATTACTTCATTAAACATATCAAGAGTGAAACCACATAAATTTATATAATAGAAAAAGAAAAAAAAACTGAGAGATGAGAGTATGGTTCTCATGGATAAGCCAGAAAAATAAGAAGGAACATAAATACTGGATTTAGAAGCTAAAAAACATGTTCTTCTAAAACACTGAATTCATAAAAAGACAGATAACATCAATTGTACATAAGCTCAATCCAATCAATCTAAAACTTTTTAATGTAATGAGTTTGTAGGTATATTTTTATATAATGCTTAATTTTTTCATATATACTCATAAAACTTAATCTTACACTTGAATTTATAATAATATAAACTTTTTTTAATTGTTTATATGACATGTTTTTAAGTTAAAGGATAATAAGGTGTTAATATTTTATTAGATTTTGGAAGAAAATAAGGAGAATTGAATATTGGTTGAGTTGCAGAGATGTGATAATTTCATTGAATAACTTTTGGTACAATTGTACATTTGTGTACTTTTTTTGATTGAGTTGGGTATAGAAGTGTTTTGAATCTAGGCAATACATACAGATTGGAAGAAAAGCATAAAGGAAATCCATTGAGCACTAAAAACCAAGACTAGCATTTTCATTGCATGGAATGAAGAGCTTGGAATTCTAAAGACTCTTGGCTTAAAGAAAGTGCTTCGACATCAAAGCCTGTTATTGGTTGCTTCGTTTTTCATGGAGTCACTGCCATTCCCTACCTTCTTCCAAAACTCTCTACTTTTAATGCCTTTCTTCTGTCTCTTGCATTAACATTCTAAACATACTTTTACACATTTTTCTTAATAAATATTTTTATATGAAAATAATTAACAAAAGAAATGAAAGAAACCTCTTTATAAAATTATCTTAAGCCCAAAAGAATCAGTAATCTAATTTTATTTTATTTTCTTATATTTCTCCATTCTTATAAAACAATGTATCCAAAGATATATTTAAACGTGTTACTGACATCTATCTTTAGTCTTGCCATGTAACCATTAATTTGGACCACCTCTTACTTAAGAAAAGTCGATGCTATGAATGCTAATTGCTCTTTGTTCTGGTTTTCTTATTAAAGAATCTTTTAATGAAGTTCATTTTGTAAAGTTAATTCTGATTAGAATTAAGTTTGAAGGGAAAAAAAAATTATGATTGAGTGTTTTTTATTTTTATTCTGAGAGTGTGTTAGTAGTAAAAGTCATATAGAATATTTGGTCAGCTACTTTGAATAATTTAAACTTAAAAGTAAACTCTTCGACACGAGATTAAATATGTGAAAATTGATGTATATCTATGTTAATTGATATTTTATCATGAATTTATATAAGTCGAGTTGATAATTGCACTGAAGAGAAAACTTGTTCAAATTCTAAAATCTCATGTAGTATTATAGGACTTACTAAAATCGAATTAAACTACTCTTTTGTGATTGCACATTGAAGATGCTCTTGCCAATTAAAGAAAAACGGTTTTTTTGGGTGGAGGTTTGTTTTGGATCAAAATCATTTTTCTATTCCATTAGATATTCAGTGAGGGTAGGTTAGAAATCTCAATTCAGTAATATAAGATTAGTTTTCAGCTGCAAATCTTATATATTAGAATCATTTGAAATTTATTTTAAGATTTATTGTTTATTAAACCTATCATTTTACTTGTTAATAATGTAATAGAAATTTCATTTTTAGATATAAAATGAGAATTCTTAAAATATATATAAATGGATATATTACTCTCTAAAAGTATAATTTAGTAGATTAGTTTTCTTGCATGTAACATCTCAGGAAAAAAGAATGAATGCGGGTAATTGAATAAGCAAGATGCAGAGGACTGATTCCTTTTATAGGCATAGATGTCTTGAGGATATGTTAGAAGAAGATGTCAGCAAGGGCAGATGACGTGTCAGGCTAATAAAGTGTTTGAAGAGGGAGCTTCTTGGGTCTTTGTTTGGTGAAAAAGAGGAAAACAAATGATGGGGATCTAGGGAAACTGAATGGAAAGATACTTGGCTTCCCAAGGATATTGTTCCAATTAACTTTTATTCAAACCTGTCAGTGTCAATCATCTAAATCAGCCTTATATATTGCTTATATACAATTTCCTTATGATTGGGCTGAATCTTAAACTTCCCTACATGTTCTAGGCTTCTTGTGCTGCTGTGAGATACCAGTAAGAAATAGGAGAGATAAACACTCAGTTTCAGACCCACCACCTTTTCTTCTTTGCTTCAACCTCAGAAGGCCTTTCTTCCTCCAAATTTTCCACAGCAAAAGAGATGAGTTTCTTGTCTTTAAGAGGGTTCTTTGTTTTAGTCTGTGTTGGGATTTTAGCTTCTCAACCAGGCATGGTTTCTGGCCTCAGAAGCAAAGATCTTGCTCTGAGATGGGATCAGAGGCAATCACCACTTGCTCAAATAGCTCGTGTCCTAAAGGCTGTTGCAATGGAGAACTTGCAATCACAATCACAGTTGGATTTGGCACCTGCACCTTCATTGACATTTGATCCTAATCAATCAAACAAAAGGACGGTTCGAAAAGGGTCTGATCCAATTCACAATCGATGTTAACAACTCAACATGCTGTGGTTTTGTCCCTTTTTTACTTTTCTGAGAATGACAAGTGAGTTCCCCAATGCCAAGATTGTTCTTTGCTTCGTTTAACAGTTTCTTAATGAGGTTGGTCGGCTTTCGATGCTCTTTTTCTTCCCCATTTTTTAGTTTTGTTGAGTCTATCTGTCAGGTGAAGAATTGCTGATGAAAACATTTTGTAAAGAAATCAGGCATTGAAGAATAGCTAGATAGTTTCATGATATTGTTAGCTATCAAATACAGAATATAGTGGATTTCTCCCTCCCTCGCTCGCTCTCTCTCTCTCTCTCTCTC